TCCTGCTAAGTTGTCCAGGCTGGCCTTGAACTTGCAGTTCTCCTGCCTTAGCCTACTAAGTAGCTGGGATAGTAGGTGTATATCACTGTGCCTGGCCATTTGCCTATTGCCAAAGAAAGAAAACAGAATTGGCAGGATTTGTATACCAATGGCTCTCAAAGTGATGCAAATTACCCGTAGAGTGTGTTAAAACAGATTGTCCAGCTCCTCGCACGAGGATTTCAGACCCAGTAGGTTTGGAGTGGAGCCCAAGAATTTGCATTTTTAACCATTTTAAAGTGCTGCTTGCTGGTCCCAAGATCACATCCTCTCTCCCAAGTAAGGTGAAAGGATGTGGCCAGGCTTCCATGGATCTTCCATGGAAGAGCATGGATCTTAATAAATCAGGGCTCAGTAAGAAGAGGGGAGAATGGCTGTACCCTATAGTGTTTGTTGTACTTATAGTCTTGGAAAATTTATGATTGACTCCTCCAAAATAGAGAAATACCTGAACATTGTGACTGTGTCTATTCTTCAGATGTTTTTAGGATGAGGCAGTGCTGGGGATTTAACCCAAGGTCTCAGGATTCTTTCTTTTTTGGTACTGGGGATCGAACTCAGGTCCTTGTCCTTGCACAGCAGGCAGCAAAACCACTTAGCTAAATCCCCGGCCCCGGTCTCAGGATTCTAAGGATGTGCCCTATCCCTGAGATATATCTCCAATGCCTGTTCTTCAAAAGTTTTGGTTACTCCTTATACTTGGTGGTTAAAACAAAAGCAGTCACTCCCTCTTTATTTTGTGTTAGCTACAAACCTGAGCTTAGCATCTTCTGCCTCAAACATTACCGTCCTTAGCTGCCAGCTCCAAGGTTCTCATAACCACCATCCTCCCATAGAGCAGCAACCTCCTGAGGTTTGGGTCCAACTGGTCCAGCACATAAACTTTACAGCCCCTGCCAGCTTACTTCTGACACAGCCCTTCTTTACTGCTGATTTTTTGCCAGGGCCAATGCTAAGCCTTTTGGAGGAAGATGTGGGGGTTACTGATCTCTTTCCTCCTAGAGAAATGTGAATTTCTTTTACAAATCCTTCCTTTTTTCCCAGAGATCACATCTGCATATCAAGAAATGAAGCAGCTTTTAGCACATTTCCAGGAAAAAAAAGTGTTTCCAAGACATAGTGCCTACCCACTTTAACAGTAGCTTAGCTAGTCCACATAAGCGTCTTCTGGAAGACCCATTGACTACTCAGTTCAGAGAAAAATGTGTACCCAATTAACCTGAGTGGTCTGCATTCAGGGTTTCTAAAGGATCAGCATGAGGAGAAAGGAGAAAGGTGCTTCAACTACGCGCAAAGAATGGCAGTCTGCCTACCTTCTCTTGGGTAGGGGAAGGAGCTCTCCTTTTTTAAAAGCTATTTTCTCTCGTGTCCCTTTTTTTTCCTTTTCTTTTCCAGAGTGAACTGAGCAGTCTTTTTGGCTCTTGACCTTGGGTCCAGGTGTAATTTTGCTCTGTGAGGCTCTAAGCAGGATGGGGAAGAGGAAGAACTTAGCTGACTGGAGCTCCAGGTTTTAAGGCAGAGTGATGAGGTGGACCCTGAAGTTGCTCTTAGTGCCCAGCCTAGCTCACCAAAGAGGACAGGTATAATGCATCCAGGTACCTGCAAAGGTTGCCCACTTCCCTGATTGGAGGCTCTTCCTTACCTGAACCAAACTCCCTCCCATAAATTTCCACACATTGCTTCTTTTTTTCTGGGCAGTATTCTCACATGATTACCCTCAGATAAAGGTTCGCCAGCAGAGTATTCCAAGTCTGTTTCTCTCCAGGTTAAATATTCTTATCTTCAACAGTTATTTGTAAAACTTTATGACACGATGAGATAGCTTTTCAAGTCCTGACCCTCCTGCTCATGCTTCATAGGGTGTGCTGCAGTTTATCTGTGTTCCCTGCACATATGGCTATGGTAGCATCCAGCTGGGAAAAATAGTCTGGATGTGACATGGGTCAATGAAGCACAGGGACATTGGTATTTCCTTCTTGGTACAGGATGCTGTGCTTCCAATAATGAAACCTAGGCTGGCACTGGCATTTTGGCTTTCAGGACACACTGAAGACAAAAGATTTGTATCTCATTCTCCAAAATCTCTGGCTCCTTCCCCATCTCCCAATGTTCAGGATCCAGTTTCCCTGTTTGTGGAATGGGTGTATGAAGCGTTTGAGTCAGCTGAAACTTTGGGCTCTGAATTATGCCAGAAGGGAGGGGAGACACCCACCCTGCTGCTGGCTGATGGGGTGGCAGGGAAGAGGCCTAGTAACAAGAGCTTCTGGAGCTCCAGAATTTGGGTATCTTAAAGAAATGTGATGGGGGGGGGCAGGGATTTAGCTCAGTGGTTTCACTGCCTGCTGCTGAAGTGCAAGGACCTGAGTTCGATCCCCGGTACCACAAAACAAAACAAAGAAATGTGATGGGGAGAGTGCAAAAAGGGAGCAGAAACCAACCAGGCTGTGATGTTGGAGCCTGTGAGCCTTCAGGTCCAGCCTCAGCATAGAACGGTGGTGCTTAACCACCTTGCTCTCCCTTCACTTATTCACAGGTGCTCAGCTACATTTTGATAAGTGTACCATATTTATGTTATAACTGGGTTATCATACTATTACCCAGAATGCATACCAGATCTGAGCTCCGAGTTGAGCTCATCACATTACCTAGGCAGAAGTAAAGGTTAGTTTAACTTTCAGAGATAGATCACATATCCCTCAGTACTTTTGGGAGCTTATTCAGTGTAGTAAGAAATTTTTCCCAAATTTGAACCTAGAGCCAAAGGAAAGTGCGTTTGTAGAGTGAATATTGTTTCTTGCGTAATTATTATTCATCAATTCTGGACTGGTTTAATTTCTTTAAGTGTTGTCAAAAATCCTAATATTTAAAAAGTATTTTAACACAACAAAATCAGACTAATTGGACCAATGGCATTTCAAAGGTCAGCGAAAGAGTTGCCCTTGCCATATCTCCCTCCTAGTGGTTTCCCATTGCCTCAGATTTCTAAATAAGAGATTAAGAATATAAATAAGAAATAAATTAGAAAAGTATTTGAAAATTTCAGTGTAAAATGAAGATTTACAACAGATTTGACAGATTACTATAAATAAGACTCCAAGTTAGAGGTCTTAAGGAAACTATTTTCCTTCTAAAATGCAGAGGAAAAGAGATTACTGAGGGGCAGGAGATAAGGAAGGCAGGTTCTGAGACAAAGAACAGAAAGAAGAGTAAAAGTAAATATACAGAAAACTATGGCATCAGCAAGAAAGTAGTTTCAAGGTTGGCATTTTTCCATTTTGCAGATAAATACCATCAGTCTCAGTGGTATTAAACCATTTCTTTTACTGATATATAGTTTGTATTTGTAGACTCAAGGAAGTTCTTCAGCTTCGGATTTTTCATTTTTTCATTCTTTTACTGACTCTTTAAAGTTTGTTTGGGTTTTTTTGGGTACCGGGGCTCAAACTCGGATCCTTGAGCTTGCAAGGCAGGCGGCAGAACCACTGAGCTAAATCCTGGGCTGACTCTTTAAAGTTTGACAGCCAGTGTCAGATTTTTCATAATTTGCTTCAGGTCCTTGATTATTGATCCTAGTTTGTGTGTGTGAGAAAGACTTCTAAAAAATGTTACATACATATTTTACAATAATTTTGTTTAGAAATGGTAAAATTTTGAGGGCAAGTGGCCATATTTTTTTTGGTTTTCCCACAATATAATATAGAACAGTAAATTAAACTATATTATATTGAGTTAAAGGGGAATATCATTTACGTTTAAGGCATTCTAGACCTAAATATAGTTTTATTTCTTAAAGTTTTCAAAATTAAGCTTAGGTGTGCTCATAGTCACGAAATAATGCTGGTACTAGTAGTATTCCTATTAAATTATTATATTTATACATAAAGCAAATATCGTTTTAAAATTGCCTTTAAAAAAAAATCTAGGTAGCACGTGTAAACATCTGTGAAACCACAGGCACGGAATTTTAAAATTTAACGGATTTTTAGTCCAACCCATTTTTCTTTCTGGCCAAATTCGCAGAAGCATGCGTTCTTAATTCTGAAACTGATTCTAAGCTTTTGCGGATAGGCAAATAGAAAACAGTGCTGAGTACTTACTTGCAGAGTGGCTACTATTCTTAACTGTGCCTCAAATCAAGGAAAAAATGCTTGTCTATTTTTTAGTTTAAAATACACATACGCATAGTCCCAAAATCTGCAACGCTATTTCTTTGTAATGATGGAAAATGAAAGGGATGACTAAAGTTTCCGTTCTTAGCAGAACACGGGGTGGGGTGGGGGAGCCGGCTGAGTTCCAGCTTTTGTGAGTTAAAATGACGCTATCAGCTCGTTTCTCCATAAAACGAACTGGAAAAGAGATACTCTGTGAGATCATCACCATCAAACACTTCAAAGACTTTTCATGGGGACCCACGCTAGTCCATAGTACAAGCAAATCTGTTCTCTCTGGAAGCTCGCAGCTTAAGACACGACGTGATGTCCACTTCCGGCTCAAACTGAGTTCGGACTGCGCACGAATCTGGTATAAGGGTTCCTCTTGTGGGCGAGGTTCCGCCGACTCTTCCTCAGACTGTCCTCACAGCCGTCCAGCCGCGGTCTAGCGGGCGAGAGCTACGGGATGCGCGCGCGAGGGTGTGCGTGTGAGTGCGCGCGCGCAAGTGAGCGGCGAGGCGGGAGGCGGCGCGGCTGGGGGAGCAGTCTCTGGGTGGGGGTGGGGCTCTGCTGGGCGGCCGCTCCCATTCCCGTCCCCGCAGCTCGAGAGGTGAGCTCAGCCGGGTGTGGGGGAAGAGCCAGGGTGGTATCCCGCACCCCAGCGCAAGGCGGAGCAGGGCCGACGGCCTGGGCAGCGCCAATGGCCAGCGCGCGGGTCCGGGCAGGCTAGCGGGAAGGCGCCGCTCGCCGCGCCGGGTCACGTGGCGCGGTCACGTGGCGCGCAGCCGGACCGGCGGCGGCCGAGGGAGGCGGAGACTTGCCAGAGACGCGGGGGGAGGAGGCGGCGGCGCGGGGCTGCTGGAGGCGGAGGCGGAGAGGAGAGGAGAGCTGCGGGGCCGCTGCCACGGCCGCCCAGGAGGTGAGGCGGCGCGGGGACCGCTGTCACCGGGCGCGGCGGCCCGGAGCACTCTCGGAGCTCCCACCGGCGTCTCTCGTGTCGGGCCCCTGTGCCGGCGCCGGCGGGCGTGGTGGGCGCGGCGGGCGGGCGCCGGGCTCGGCCGAGGCGGGCAGGGGCGCGGTGGGCCTCTGTGGGGGCGCTTCGTGAGGGCGCGGCGCGAGGACAACGACCGACCCGAGCGCCTCGGCCGCCGCTGTTGCTTTGCCATCTAGCCTTTGTTTCAACGTGTGAGAAAATGGGGCGAGAGAGGAGCTCGGTGTTTGTGTGTGCGCGTGTGCGTGGTTCTGTGTGTAAATCAGGCGTTTTGGCTTGGAGCCGCCACCCCCCCCTCACCCCCCTACCCCCCGCCCGTCTTAATTGTGGAGACAGAAAATACCTTAAAGCGGTTTCGCCGGGCAGACGGGGCTGCAGTTCCCCCAGCCTCCCCCCGTCGCGATGAAGTGGCTTCTCCACCCCGCTCTGCCCACCTCCTAGTCCTCAGTTCCGTCTCCCACCCTCCTTCCCCTTCCTGCCCGCCCCACCTTCAGTGAAGCCCCTTGAGCGAGCGGGGTGTCTGCAAAAGCGGCCCGGTCACCTGTCGTGGCAGCTGCATGGAAATCCCGGCGCTTCTGCTGTCTGGAGCCTGTGCTGTTTCCTCTGGCAAATCACGGAGATTCCGCTCCCAGTACCACCCTTTCCTCTTTGCCCTGTGCCTCAAAACCTAGTGCTTGATGCTGATGTGAAGTTTGACCCGCTTGGGGCAGTTAGCAGGGAAGAGGCTACTGTCTAGACACCACTTCAAGGTTGAGAAGGTGAGGGTGATCTAGCTTTGTGGAAGGGAATGAGGGTGACACCAACTCTCACTGGGGTTGATGTCATTTAGAAATCTATTTTTATTAATCTTACCTGCAAATCTGTCAGGTGATCAAAAGTCTTGTAATACTTCGATCTCTAGGGATAATCAGTTCTCTTGGACAGGGAACTGTTTTCTGAGTTGTCGATATGGGGGTTCCCCTTCCATTTTTATTTTACAGTAGTTGAGCACCTAGACAGGTTTTAGCACAGGAAATTATTTTTAAGATTTTGAAGAATGTAAAAACCTGTTCCGGGATTCCTTTTGTACCTGTTCCTCTGTGCCTAGGGTCTCCATTTCTGTTGGAGTTTAGTTTTTGCCGGCAAAACCTGTGGTCCTGGCGAATTCTCTCCAGGCAAGGTATTGAAGGCTTGCTGGGGTTGGAGGTTGGGATGGGTGTGCAGTGGCAGAGCACCTTGGACATAGGCACACTGCAGTCCAGAGAGAGTCAAGCTGAGATTCCTGGCCCTCAGGTGGGGCAGTTTGGAGCTGATCTCAGCGTTGTGCAGTGATAACCGTATTCAGAGAGGACGATTCACGTGTCTTCCTTTTTGTGATGTGATAGTTTATTGTAGTGGAAATGACTATAAGTACATTATGAATAGCCAAATCTAGTGTTCAGTTCCTCGATTTAAAAAATAGAAATGTGCATGAAAGTTATTAGAGGATGAGAATTTCCTTTAAGAATTTTAAGAGCTCTATTTTAGTAAGGGCTGTGCAAGTAGTTTTTCACACGATGGGGGAGGTGTTGACTTCTAGACTTACAAGCATGTAGTACTGAGTTAGAGGGAGTTAGAGAGAAAAAAATGTTTCAACACAAGGGAGCTTTCAGATATGAAGATGAGTAGAAAGCCATGATTACTCATGTGCCTGAGAAATAACATAATGTATTTATTACTGTATATTTAAAAATAATGTCCTTTTCATTTGGAAAGAACATGTGTATCATACTGAACTTTCTAGTTTTCATATGGAGCTAGAAGAATAACAGTTTGGCTAGTCATATTGATTTTCTTACTAAAATTCTGAATAGAATTGTTTCAATCATTGAAAGGATGAGTGGTACCTGAAGCCTGTTTTTCTTTTTTTGGTACCAGGGGTCGAACTCTGGACCTTGCTCCATGAAGCCTGTTTTAAATTGAACCATCCATAGTTCACGCAGAGATCCCAAGTATTGGAAGAATGGTACAGACAGCAGCCTTCCTCAGGGCAAGTTTGCGTTGGTTTATAGGGCAGAATGTGAAGACCATTTTGGGTTTGCTGTGGATACACAGAGTATTTGGATTCAGGAAGGTTTATTGAGTGGCTCCAGTAGCTATGGGTAAGCGGGTGGCAGTGTTTTCATATGTTCCACAGCACTTACAATATCCGTTACAGATTCTGTCTTTTCTTCTATGGAGGCAGAAAGAACACAGATGGAATGTGCTTTGTAAGATGCAGTGAAAAATTAAGTAAAGCCTCAAAACTATGAAATGCTGTGATTTGGTTACTATATTGGTTCCTGTTTAGGATTCTGTGAAGATTTTTCAGTATTACTAAAACCTTGCAGAAATTATTCTATGAGTGCTGAGACTGCATGGACTATGTAATTAAAATGTCCAATTTCTTTTAGTTTGGCTAGAAAAAACTTAGTTACTAAATATTAATGTACTAAATTATCTGTGGTAAAACATACAACACATAAAATTTACCATTTTAATCTTTTTTAAGTATGCAGTTTGGTGGCATTGACATACAACCATTACCACCATGTATCTCTCAAACTTTTTTTCATTTTCTCAAGCTGAAACACTACCCAATAATTCCATTCTTTGCCCACACTCTGCATTCTTTTACTATCTATGAATGTAACAATTTTGTGTACCTCATACAATTTGAATCACATAGTATTTGTTTTGTTTTGTTTTTGGTACCAGGATCAAACTGGGGACCTTGTGCTTTTGAGGCAGGTGGTGGAACCACTGAACTAAATCCCTGGCCCTGAATCACATAGTATTTGTCCTTTTGTGACTGACTTATTTCACTTAGCATAATGTCCTCAACGTTTATCCATGTTGTAGCATGTGTCAGGTTTTTTTCTAAGGCTGAGTAATCCATTGTATTTATAACCACACTTTGTTTATAAATATTTGAAAATTTTGTCTACTAAATGTTGACTTATGATGACTAGGATGTCATACAAGAAGTATAGAACTTTTAATTAAAACAGGAAAACAAAACTAGTTGTTATTTAATGCATATTCTTTAAAGTACAGCATCCATGCAGGATAAAAGTAAGTGTGTAATGTCCTTGCTTGGTTCTGTCAATTTCTTGCTATGTGGATCATGACATACCTTACATCCTTCTGAAATCTGTGGCTGATCAGATGATTTTTCGTTTTCTAGATAATTTGTAATGGTCATCTATTTTCCTGTATGGGAAGTATGTACTTAAAATTTAAATAAATTTTAAAGGGAAATGTAGGTAAATAGTGTAATTCTAATATAGGGAAAGTCTAAGCTCAGCATCATTTATAGGTATGAAACAAAAGATTTGATATAGTTTTGCCAGCATATATTATTTTTAATGTTTATATAGTAAAGAATGGCATGAACAATAAACAAATGACAAACTGGAAAAATATGTGCAGCATTATTTATAGAGCTGTACAAATCAGCATAAGGTGAAAAATGGGCTTAAGAACATGAGATCTTTTTAAATGTGTTTATCTCTGTGCCAGGGATCAAACCCAGGGCCCTGAACATGGTAGATCATACATTTTAACTTTTTATTATGGAAAAGTTTAAACAATAAAAAAATAGAACTGGTTTGAGGTGACCCACACAGCTGTAATCTAAGCACTCAGGAAGCTAGGAAGCTGAGGTGAGGATGGCAGGTTCTAGGCCAGTCTTGGTTAGACAGCACGTTCCAGGCCAGCCTGGACTGAATAGTGAGACCCTGTCTTAAAAAAAATAGAGACTGATACAGTGAAGCTTTGTACCTGCTACTTAGCTTGGGCAACTATAAGGTATCATCAGTCTTATGTGAGGGATATCTTTATCTTTATCTGTAAGTTATTTTAAAGCAAATGAAAAAACGGTCTTATAATTTTGTCTACATTTAATATTTCTAAGAGAGAAGGGCTCCTAAAAAATAATCACAAAGCTATTATTATTATTATTTATTCATTTTTGGTACTAGGGATCGAACTCAGGACCTTGCGCTTTTGAGGCAGGCCTCAGAACCACTGAGCTAAGTCCCTGGCCCCCACAAAGCTATTGTTGCACCTTAAAAAAATAATTACTGGAGCAATGTAGTATAAGCTAAAGACATGAATAGGTATTTTTTTCAGAGCTTTTCTTTTTTTCAAATGTGTTACTGGGAATTGAACCCAGGGCCTCACCAATGCTACTCCACCATTGAGCTACAATTCTAGCCCAATCTTTTTTCTTCAATTTGAAGTTTTTTATTATGAAATCATATGCATGTGTGTGTGTGTGTTGTGTTTATGTGGCTTCTGATTGTTTGAACTAAGACCTAAATAAATAAGGTCCATAACATTGCAGTTGGATAGTTTGAAGTCTCTTTTAACCCATAGGTGCCCTTTTTTTCTCTTTGCAACTTTTTATTGAAGTTGAGTTTTGCCCATTGCATCCCTGTAATGTTAAGTGTATTTCTTGCTTTTATTTCTTATACATTGGTAGTTTGATTTAGACTTTTTTCTTTTGTCTAGATATTGAACCCAGGGCTGTCTGAATGTTAAGTACATGTTCTACTATTGAGCTACACCCCAGCACAGGTTTTTTTTTTTTTTGTGGGAGATAGATAGTATCTGATTTCTTTCTTTTTGTGATATTAGCAACTATTCTTGATTATTATCTTGACCCATTGATTTATGAGGATTATAAATTGGTTATGTCCTAATGTAGATTGTCTGAGAAGGGTATGAAAAATATCTGATTAGTTCCCCTGATCTCCCCCCCCCCCGCTTTTTTTTTTTTGGTACTGGGGATCGAACTCGGGTCCTTGTGCTTGCAAGACAGACTTCGGCACCACTGAGCTAAATCCCCGGGCCCTTTGATTTCCCCTTTTTCAGAATTATGAATTGGTCCCCTAGCATCCTCATGGTCATGAGTTGAGGGTGTTTTT